GCTATTTTGTTAAAAGCTTTAGTATTAGTCATGTGCTCACATGTTTTCATGGTTACTTTGAGTAGCTCACAGCGTAGTGCTTAGTGAGAATGACATCTGTTGCGGTCGTGAGGGGGGAGGGGGAAGCAGTGTGCAAAAGGGGTCGTAAGTATCAGGGCGAGAAATAAGGGTGAAAATTTAGTTCGAGGGGGGCACTCATAATATCTAATCGAACTGGCAATATCTAATCGAAGTGGAGCTGCGGAAGGCGGTCATATCTAATCAACATTCAGAGCACAGTCTCTGAGTGTACGATTAGATAGGGATACCAACCCTGGATTCCATACAAAATCGGATACCTGAAGGCCCTTTCTCCGAAGGCTTGCATGGCGATTGCAAGAAGATTTGGTGAAAATGAGGCATCAGCAAGGTAGCGGCCATTTTTGCTATAGAATAATACGATAAATGTGTCAAGTGTGAGTAACGATCGTAGACCACCGTCTCAGTGAGAGATATGATGAAAACGATTAATAAGATATGGGAGCTTTTCCGCAACTCTACTTTGAGTCGATATGAGTGCCTTTTCGCAACTCCACTTTGATTAGATATAAAAGGTACTCCTCCTCCTCCCCGATCCAAATTTTCGCCGTCACAGGAGAGTGCCGTTCAGCTCTAGTTCTCCATACTCCCGCCACCATATATTTCAAACGCATCTGAGAGCTCCTTGAGAAAACGATGCGCCTATAGTCGTGTGATTGCATTAAACCTCCTGTCCGCTGGGAGCGTCATGTGTCGTGCCTTCCGAGTCACGGTGAAATTGTACAAATGGGGAATGGAATTTTCGCGAGTTGAATAACCTTCATCAGAGGACACATGTGAGAATCTCTCAAAGTTAATCCGAGCTCGATTGGCTCAAAAAGGGCTCACTAGATTTGAGAAGTGCACAGTCTCTCCAAGCAACATATGGAATCATCCCTGGAGACGTCTGCTCAGAAGCATCAACGAGCGAGGCGACTATCACCCAAAGTAGGTTCCGCTCCCCGAATTGGTTCGATTGCTTCAGAACAGGACTTAGCTGATAGCGCCGCTGCTAGCGTCGACACCTACTGCTTGCTGCTGCGTAGACGTGCTTCCAATATCGCAGAGTTGAGGTTTCCAGTAGATAAAATTGTTCCACTGTGCAGCAATTTGCAACCATATTTGATGAGCGAATGCTAGAATAATGTACGGAAACTTACTGTCTTGGTTATCCCCTGCTAGTCGTAATCCACTGATGGTATGCTAACTAGCCAGCTATTATTCCTCATGCTTCGAAAGAGAAAGTACGATGATCGCGGCACCTCAAAACGCACTTTCAGTTTTTCTTTGCATCGAGGGCTTCGTAACTCTAGGGCAGGGCTATCCATTTACTAGTGCTCAGATGGGGGCTGTCGGAGAGTTGTGGTGAATGTTCTGTTCGATAAAGATGGTTTTGCAAAATGTTCCGAAATTTCAAAATTGATATCAAATCTTCACTTAGTTGTGCACTTAGCAGTCGACATGGAGAAATATGTATAGCATTCTATGCATATGGAATTGTCCAGGAAGCACATTAGCGACAGGATTTCAATACAAATGACATTTTGAAGTTAGAAAGAAAAAGATAGAGCCAATGTACTACTTATAGTAATGCGTAAAAGCACATCACCCACTATGCACACCCACTCAACCAATGGAAAATCTGTTACGAATAAGGACTGTTTCATCACGTGATTGCGGGCATTCTTCATGTCACTGGCTAGTTTCCTTTATCTGAATAAAAAGTCTTAGGCAACGAGCATATGCTGTGGCACAATTCGCAAAATGAAATGGACACTGTGAAAAAAAAACTCTTGTCCTCTCGCGCTACTCACCTCATGTCTGCTCTCGTCGGCTCCTTCTGTATACTTCTCTTACTTGGGGGCGCATTTCGTTGCTCACTCAGCGAAAACTCGCCCTGATTGAGGCAGGTAGACTAGTGTTAAAGCGACACAAGCCTTGGCCGATTTTTACCTTATTGCCTGTATTTCAAAGGTTTAATTCCTTTCTTCACTTTTCTTCTCCCACTTCAGTCTCATTTTCCGCCTTGATACCACACAATCACACCACAGCCAGTCAAGAGTTAAATCGATGGCGATAAGGAGCTGCAAACGTAGTTTGAGGAAAAAAGGTTACAAAATACATCATGAACCTAGCAATCATCAAAACATTTCTGGCTCATGAGACAAAAACGTTGGAAGCATTCTGGATATACACCAAAAATCCTAGAATGAACAGCCGAGATGAGTGTCCTCAATAACAAATGACCTTCTGCCGTTTATACCGCACTGCGAGCTGTAGAATGATCGGGCGTTAC